TTTACAGGAATAGATTGCCTCACCTACATCCTGCGGGGCAGCTGGTGGGTTTGAACTGAGGGCCTCTGGTTAGCAGCCAACTGCCTTACCCACTACGCCACCAGAGCTCTTTATACTATACACACACACACACTCTCTCTCTATATATATATATATACAGATATATACACACACACAATGTATATAATATGCTGTGTGTGTATGTATATCTGTTCCTGCTGTTTATGGCCTTCCAGTCAAGTCTGATTCATGGTGTCGCCATGTGTATGGAGAAGAATGGCTCCACGGGGTTTTCAGGTGCTGTGACCTTTTGGAAGCAGAGTGCCAAGCCTGTTTTCAAGGACCCTCTGGATGGTTTGAACCACCAAACTTTCAGCTGGTATGTTGAGTGCTTACCTGTTTGTGCCACCTAAAACTCAATGCTGTCGGGTCGGATCCGACTTACAGTGACCCCTCCTTGGCTTTCCAAGGCAGTATCTCTATGCAAGTAGATTGCCCAGTGTTCCTTTTGAGGAGTAGCTGGCTGGTGGGTTTGAACTGCCAGCCTTCTGGTTAGCAGTCAAATGCCTTAGGCACTATGCCACCAGACCTCCTAAGGAGTACACATACATACGTAACATATGCATGCGTGCACGTGCATGTGCGTGCGTGCTCACACACACACACACACGTTTTATAGAAAACAAACCAAAGCCATCACCGTCGTGTCAATTCCTACACATAGCAACCCTCTAGGAAGTAGCATAACTGCCCCAAAGCGTTTCCAATGTTGTAATCTTTGCAGAAGCAGATTGCTTCGTCTTTCTATCACGGAGTACCTGGTGGGTTTGAACTGCCAAATCTGGGGTAACGGCCAAGCACTTAACCACCTAACCAGTGCCCACTGCATCACCTAGGACACACACACACACACACACACGCCAAACTCACTGCCACTGAGTTGATGCCGACTCACAGTGACCCCTATTGGATCTTTGAAGCTATAAGTCTTTATGGAAGCAGACTGCCTTGTCTTTCTTCTGCGGAACGGCTGGTGGGTTCAAACCACTGACCTTTTGGTTAGCACCCAAATGGCTTACCCACTGCACCCCCAGAGCTCCTTGAGCAGGGGACTAGGGGCTGGTTAACTGATCCTGTGAGTTGATCTGGGTCTTCAGTTTGCACAGAGTCATCAGACAGAACACTGACTGATGGTATACTTTCCAGACATTTGTCACACTTCAGTAAAAAGGTTCTTAAAAAATCATTCCCAGCCAGAATGAACAATCTGTGAACGAATTTTGGATCAGTGCTGGGTCCAACTCCTAAATAAGTGCCCTCGGGTCTCTGCTGAGCCACCAGAGAGATTCCAACCAGAGAGCGAAAGGAGGAAATGCTGGCAGCCGCAGACCCTGGGAATCATGCAGAAATCGGGCTTCATGGCTTAGGGGCCCCCTCCACCCCACTGGACACAAAACAAGTGACAAGCCCTTCCTGATGGGCCCAGAACAGCTCAGGGCACAAGGCCATTGGTGCAGCTGTGAGGAGAAGGCACCGCCGTCATGTTCCCCTCCTCAGAAACCCCCGACGGCTGAGATGTTCCACGTAAGTCAATTTTCTGGCTGAGCAAAACTTTCATCATTAAATAACTCCTTTGTTGCAAACTATATCATTTTTAACGGAACCCTTTCAAAAATGCATTTCACACATCCCGACATTTTTAAGAGTCCAGGGAACAGAATTTAACCTTTAAAACAAGTAACAGCGGGTGCCAGGCGCTATCCAAAGCACCTTCCATCGAAATGTCTCTTCATCGTCATAAAACCCTACAAATTAAGTCCTGTGATTAGTCTCACTTCACGTTTGCAGTTCCGACTGATTAAATAATGCTTCAAGGTCATAAAGCAAATACTGAAATATGGGGGGGGGGTGCTTATTCTTCCTCTAAAGTCTACACGCTTCCCTGCTCTGGAAGCTTCCGCTGGTGGGAGCGCGCTACGTCAGTGATGCTGACACAGACAAGGATGTTGGCTGGTCCTTTAGAGGGGCCCCTAGAGCTTTTGCTGCTTTTTTTTTTATCTTTCATCAATATTGTATTATGAGTTGTCATAAAGCTGCTTCCGGCACACCTGGTTTAGCTGCCCGCCCCCCCCAAAATAGCTACCCACGATCTGATAAAAATCTAGACAACTGTATTTGCATCCCTTTAAATCAACTCTCGGCCTTCCTAGATCTTTCTGTTTGACTAAGACATCCTATGGAGTTAGAGACATTTCTTTGTCAGTTTGAGAAAGCCCTCTGGCTTGCTGCATTTCAAAGTGGCCTGGACTTGCTGCTTCTAAACACAACTCAGAAGGAAGCCTGGGCTGCTCGTTAGATTACGCAAAACAGCTCTCGACTGGGGTCCATCTGGGCCGCAGTCTCCCTCATCCAGAGCAGCACCGAGACTTACAGAGGCGTTTTCCACAAGGGTTAGGGGCTGGCGGCCTGTGGAAGAGCAAGCAGTATCCTTACCCTGTTTTCAGGCTGACCAAGGCATCCTCCACTCCCTTCTGATTGAACTTGGTCATGTACTGGTGCATGTAGGGGTAGTTGTTCCGAATGTTTCTCTCCGTACTTCCATTGGGCACTGTGCCAAATCGAAAGGGTGGGGAATAATCATGAGGTCTCTGAAACTAGAGAGAGGACAGAGGAGAAGGAGGAAAATGAGAAGAATTAGAAAGAATTAGGCATCGTTGCGTCCTGCATCAGGAGTTAAACACACGCATGCATTAACACAGGGCACCAGGTAAAGAACCACACGCATTCTTGTTTTCTTTTTCTAACCACATCTGCTGCTGGTCTGTTCTCAGGAGGTCGGCAGCAGCGTGTCTTGTCCCATACCATCCCCCAGCACGGGGCACGCCTGTGGTGCTCCATGCTGTTACTGTGCCCACAAGACGACTCCAACCCCACGTGACAGAGCAGGACTGCCCCCTGGTTTTATAGGCTGTAACGTTCAGGGGAGCAGACCGCCAGCTCGTTCTCCTGCAGAGCCCCTGGATGGGTTCGAACTGTCAGTCTTTCACTTTGCAGCCGAATGCTTACCTATCTGTTGCACCACCAGGGCTCAAAACATGTTGTTAAATTGAATTTTTTGGTCCCACTTTGTTCTCTGAGCTCCGTTTGTAAGGACCTAATGCAGGAGCTCTGGTGGCGGTGTGGTTAAACCATTCAGCTGCTAACCAAAAGGTCAGTGGTTTGAACCCACCAGCCGCTCCATGGGAGAAACATGAGGCAGTCTGCTTCCATAAAGATTGACAGCTTTGGAATTTCTATGGGACAGTTCTCCTCTTTCCTATGGGGTCATTATGAGCTGGAATTGACTCAGTGGCAGTGGGTTTTTGTTGTTTTCACGTCATCCAGGAAATAACTGTATGTTACCACTCACTCATTCTCTACTCACTGGTACGTGTCCCTGGTGCAAATGCTTAATATACTCAGCTGTTAACCAAAAGGTGGGGGGTTCAAATTCATGCTGAGGCATCTCGGAAGAAAGGCCTGGCCATCTCCTCCTGAAATCAGTTATTAGAAACTATGGAGCACAGTTCTGTTCTGACAGACCTGGAGTCCACTCAGGGGGAACTGGTACCCTTATCGAGAAGTTAAGGTCAGAACTGAGACCCCCGATCTCAGAGACCACTGTGCATGATGCCCTCCTCTCTGAGAGATGGGCCTGTGGGACCCAGCTAATCAGAACCCAGCAGTCTCCATGACTTCAGGCCACCACGCCCTCCGTGGCACCAAACAACTGCAAGCACCCATGTTTACTGAAGGGCCAGACCAGCGAGAAACCTCTCCTTTCCAGACTCACACTTCATTTCACTGTTAATTACAATTTCCAGTTGACAATCATTTCCCCTAAATTAGGCCTGCTGCTGCCCAATAAGCAGCCACACTGGATTTGAGGAGCAGCCACCCATCGTCCAGATGAGCCATTCCTGCCAGGGGCACCTTGCACTGGGACTGGCATACGTGTCAACGCTCATGTGTATGTGTACACATGGGTGTGCATGCATCCGTGTGTCCATGTACGTGCATGTGTGCCCATGTGTATGCATGTGCATGTGCGCCTGTGTTTTCCCATGTGTCCATCTGTGTGTGCATGTGTCTGTATGTGTCTGTGTGCACATGGGTCCATGTTCACATGGTTGCACCTGTGCATGTGTGTGTGTGGCCGTGTATGTGTGTGTGTGCACGTGTGTGAACAACATGACCGTCTTTGCACTCACTCCGGTAGGTGAGCAGCACCGTCACTCCCACTGGAGACGCGGTGCCCAGCCCAGGCTCGTGTGCACACAGCCATCTGCTCAGGGGACACAGGTACCAGCCCTGTTCATAAATCTAGCTGCTGTGGCAGCCGTGCCCCATCTCCAGAGACAGCCGGGGATGGTGCGTTTGTCTGAGCGCTTCCTCACTTCACTCCCCAGCTGCCCTCAGCCTCCCTTGCTTCCTGCCTTGGCTGGCCCAGGGTCGGACCCTGCGACCAGCCTCTGGAGCGTTTCCCCACTTCCCTGGTCTCACTGTACGCTCACCCACACCGGAGTGGGCCCGGCACCAACATCAAGGAAGCTTTCCCACAAGAGTAAAGGGAAAAGCGTGACCCACAAAACACTTTGGGTTACCGCCTAGTACACACACACAAATCTGCCTTGGAAGCGGTACAGCCAGAACGCTCCTGAGGAGGAGGATGGTGAGCCTTCATCTCACTTACTTTGGGCATATTGTCAGCAGCGACCAGTCCCTGGAGAAGGACGTCATGCTTGGCAGGGGGCCCGGGAAAAAGAGGAAGGCCCTCAGTGAGGTGGACTGACACAGTGGCTGCAACGATGGGCTCAACACAGCCATGACTGTGAGGCTGGCACAGGACCAGGCAGGGCTTTGTTCCGTTGGACGTGGGGTTGCTGGGAGTCAGAACTGACCCAGCAGCACCTACCACCAGCACCACAAACACACACACACACACACACACACACACAATTTCATAATACTCACTCTTTCTATCTGTGACATCTAGTAACCAGTTACTGCTGAAGTTGAGTCCAACCCATGGCGACCCCATGTGTGTCTGTAAGGTTCCCAACAACTGATTTTCTGGAGACAGATCACCAGGCCTTTCTTCCAAGGCACTTGTATATGAACTCAAACTGCCAACCTTTTGGTTAGCAGCCAAGTGCGTTAAGTTTCTGCACCACCCAGGGACTCCCTGCACGACACACTCTGATGTAACCCGCTATGTTTCATTATTTTCAACGCACACAGTCCTCAGATGATTTTTACAGTCCACTAATGAGTCTTGACCTACAGTGTGCAAAACAACTAGGGGTAATGCTGGCTTAGCACTCGAGTTCTGAGGCCCAGCATCAAGGACGCTCACCGCACATTTCCTGCAGGGCTGAGTCCTAGTGCTACCTTCTCCCGTGTGCAGGTGGGAAGAAACAAACATGGGCTTTAGTGAGGGAAGGGAGGCGCCAGGCTTCCTCGCTGGCAGGACTACACAGGGCGGGACTCTCCGTTGTCTCAGTGGCACTGCCCGTGGCTTTCTCAAGGCTTCCCTTGCTGCACCGGTCAACCGGCTTCACCTGGCCTGGGCTCAAAGACATCAAATTCGGCTTCTCACCTGCCACTCAGGAATGGAGCCAGGGCGGGCAGCTCCTTACAGCTCTCTGAACCTCAGTTTCTCTGCCTGTGGACCGAGGACTGCTTTTGCATGAAGCCGAGCAAATCCATGTAAAATGCTGGCATCTTCTAGTGCCTCACACACCTGTTGTTACCTGTCCTTGGTAGCTTTGGTCACATCACAGAACGAGGCTACTGCCGGTTTGGAAGAGGAAGGACACAATGGGATCATCTCCCATGCATCTATCGGTCCCTGGGTGGTGCAAATGGTGAAGCAACAGACTGAAGCCACACGGCCATTACAGGACAAGGCCGGGATCTGAACTCAAGTTATTCTGACCCCAAAGACAGCAATGCTTGTCCTACTGCAGTCCAGAGACAGATTTCCTCCACCTACTGATCCCCAACATTTTGGAAAGGGTCCCCACCAACATCCCAGCTTTATTGAAAAATTCCCAGAGAAGACTCCACCCATGAACTCACCTATTTATCATATAAACACGCCCAGTCTCACCTGAGCACACCATGGGCCGTTACCATGACGCCTCTTTGAAAGAAGTGCCAATGTTGCCTGTGGCTTAAAAGTACCGTCAACCTGAGTGGTTACACGGGTATACACGGAGGAAAACAACACTTGTGCGCTGCATTAACATGAACAGATTCAATATAAATTTTTATTTCGCAGACCTTCTTGGCGAACCTGCTATTAATGTTCTGGGAGCATTTAGCTAATTTATTCCAAGAATTTTGCTGTTTGTTTAATTGCATCAAATGTTTAATTAAAAGAACTAGGCACTGGTCTCTAACACTCTGTGCATGGGAGCTGATCGGCGTCTCGTGAGGACAGGGAAGCTGTTACCAGGCATCTCCAAGATGAAGAAGGTCAGCCACAGTGTTACTGTTGTAATTAATTTTCCCGAAAGTGGTCGTAGTGTTCAGATCCCAAATTATGTAGCAAGGGACTTTTTTCCCTTTGCTTTTAAAGGAAAAGAGTAAGAAGCAGCAAAACATATGGTCAAACTCTTTCCTGAAAAGTCCTCTCCTCCAGGACATGGCTCCCCACCACTTGGACTACACCACCCATCGCTCCCTCTGGGAAACAGTGTTCATCTTTTGCACCATAATGCGATGGATGTGCATAACTAGGCTTTGTGTCTGTATATTATAGTCGACAAGGCACATTCAAGAGCTCTGGTGGCACAGTGGTGAAAGCATCTGTCTGCTAACCCAAAGGTAAGCGGTTCATACCCACCAGCTGCTCTGTGGAAGAAAGATGAGGCAGTCTGCTTCCACAAAGATTACAGCCTTGGAAACCCTATGGGGCAGTTCTCTGTCCTCTAGGGACACAGTGAGTCAGAACCCACTCCACAGCAGTGGGTTTGGTTTGGGCTTTGCTCCCATAAAGATTGACAGCCTGGGAAACCCTGTGGACAATTCCACTCTGTCCTCTAGGGGCGCTGTGAGTCGGAATAGACTCCACGGCAGCAGGTATGGTTTGGGCTTTGCTTCTGTGAAGACTGACAGCCTTGGAGACCCTGTGGGGCAGCTCCATTCTGTCCTCTAGGGGCGCTGTGTGTCGGAATCAACTCCATGTCAGTGGGTGTGTTTGGGCTTTGTTTCTATAAAGATTGGATAGCCTTTGAAATCCTGTGGGGCAGTTCCCCTCTGTCCTCTAGGGGCGCTGTGGGTCAGAATGGACTCCAGGCAGTGGGTATGGTTTGGGCTTTGTTTCTGTAAAGATCCACAGCCTTGGAGACCCTGTGGGCCAGTTCCACTCTGTCCTCTAGGGGTGCTGTGAGTCAGAATCCAGTCAACAGCAGTGGGTTTTAAGGCACGTTCACGTATGCAGTCTCATCATTTTACCCTCATGACTGTTGTTGTCATGTGCCATCAAGTCGCACCCGACTCATAGCGAACCCTCCTTGAGTTTCCGAGGTGGTATCACTACAGAAGTAGATTGCCCAACATTCCTTCCGAGGAGTGGCTGGTGGGTTTGAAGCGCCAGCCTTCTGGTTAGCAGCCAAGCGCCTTAGGCACTATGCTACCAGAGCTCCCTATGACTAGGCTTCTCAAACTGGCAAAGGTGAACAAGGAGCCCAGGAGGGCTGTTGCTGTTATTGTTTGTTGCCATTGAGTCAACTCCGACTCATGGTAAAACTAAACAAACGTTGCCTGGACCTGCAACACCGTCACGGTCACTAGCGAATCGGAGGCTGTTGTGGCGTTTCAGCCACGGCGTATGCCATGGATACACCGTAAAGGCTTTCACGGACTGATTTTCTACTCAACAGTTGGATGAGGAATGCTAAAATGATATCCGTAGACTTATGTCAGTAAGACACGAGAGCAAGGTTTCATCAGAGACGAATGATCGCCACACGTGGGACAGAAAATCTTTGCTGGTCTGCAGCCTCAGCACTGAGCTGGGCATGCCAGGATCCGCCTCCCATACCTGATGCCTCAGCAGGAGGCCGTGCCTGCTGTTTCCCTTTTCTCCTTCTCTGTGTATTTCTGAATAGCCACCCAAGCCCTACAGCCCTGGTCAGGTTTTTGTGAGAAACAGGGAGACCAGGTGTCCTCAAGTCCATCTCACTGATGTGAAACATACAGCCCCAGGAGAGAGGACGGATGGTATGTCCGCATGAGAGGAACCCATGGGGAGAAACCCTCCTGGTCCTTGTGTGTTGCAAATGCTACTGATGAGGACAATGTGGGTACACAGTCAAGAGGGGTTGTCAGGTAATAACTATGTCTTAGGGTGACGCTTGGTGTTAAGGACAACTTGATTCACGGTGATGCCATGCACAGCGGAACCATGATGGGTTGAGGATGAGACCACTGTGACCCACTGCGTTCCCACCGGCTGCCTGTCCGAAGTGATCACCAGGCCTTTGACCCCAGTTCCTCTTAGTCTGGAAGCTCCGCTGGAACCTGTCCAGAATCCTTGCAGCATACAAGCGTCCACTGACAGAGAGGTGGGGGCTGCATGTGGGGGGCATTGGCTCGGGTCTCCGCCAGCGTGGACATGGAATAAACAAAGCAAGCATGGGCTTTCTTCTGCTTACTCAGTAATATGGAGTGAACAGTTTCACATGCTTCTCACCACATCTTTGAAACCCATGTCAAACTGGTCACTACAGATTAGTAAGCAAGCACAAGTAAGCCTGTGCTTGCCTTGCTTACTGGGTAATCTGACACTGGGACTCCCACGTGGAAGGTCAGAACTCTGCTTCTGCCCTGGAAGGGGCTTAGAGATGACTCTTTTCATGTCACAGGCAAGAAAACCAAGGCCAGGGGTATAGACTCGTCCAAAATCACAGGGCTAGGCGGCAGCCACAGTTTAAAGTAGCCCATATCACCCCAAGTTTCCTCTTGTCCTGGCTAGAGGAAAGGAGCTCTGGTGGTGTAGTGGTTAAAACATTCAGCTGCCAACCAAAACGTCAGCACTTCAAACCCACCAGCCATTCTCTGGGAGAAAGATGAGGCCACTGGTTTCTGTAAGATTTATGGCTTTGGAAACCCTATGGGGAAGTTCTCCTCTGTCCTGTAGGGTTGCTATGAGTCAGAATTGACTCGATCGCAGTGGATTTTGGCTAGTGGATGTTCCCAAGCATCACAGTCTCCCTGAAAGGGTGAGGTTCAGCCTAACCCAGTAACGTGCCCGTGAGTCGCAGTCTCAGTAGGCGTCACCCGAAAATGACATAAATATGAAAAATGACCACTTGGAAGAACCCTGCTTTCCACTGAGCCCCAGAGTCTTTTTGGCCTAGGAAAAGAACTCATCTTAGGGTTCTGTTCTTAAACTTTGCAGAAATATGACCATTTGAGTGAAAAAGAAGGAAAAAGCCAATGTGCTTGCAAGTTCCTAAGTCTGGTTTATGCTGCTGTTGGTAACTGCTGTCCAACTGGCTGCCTCGCAGGGTGACCTTATGTGTAACGGGACGAAACACTGCCCAATTGTGCACCATCTTCAGGGTCACTGGTATGTCTGAGTCCACGGCGTGGCCAGCATGCCAGGCTAGCTCACGGAGGGCTTCCCTCATTTTTGCCGACCCTCCACTTTACCCAACAGTCCCAGTTATAGGACCTTCTGAGGAGAGAGCACCTGAGGTGAACCCTCCGACAGGGTTGCAAG